TTTTACCAGTTTGTGGTAGAAAGGGTCTGCTTTTATTTTTAATGACAGCAGCAGCTCAGCCCTGTACTGTGCAGTTCAGGGCTGAGCCCCCTGTACTGCATAGTGTTAGGAACGCCCCTGGATTAAAAAAAAATGTGAAAACTATGAATGTTATTTAGTTCCCAACTCTAATGTGCCTCAATGTGGGCATTAGTGCAGTGTTTACCAACCCTGGTCCTCAAGGCACACTGACCTGCATATTTTAGATGTTCCCCTGCTTCAACACATCCCATTCAGATGATTTCAATTCAGCAAAACCCTGCTGGTCAGCCATCAACTGAAATTTGTTCTGAAGCAGGAGATTGCCTAACATGCATGGCAGTGTGACTTTAGGACCAGTGCTGAAAAACACTGCGTTAGTGTGTGTGTAACCTATTCACACACACTCACACGCCTCAGGGTGTGCGTTAGTGTGTGTGCACGCGCGCGCTTAAAAACTGTTCCTGGTTCTGCTCTTATCTCGTTGTCTTCACTTTGACTTTATCGTTTGATCTCCTCCATGTTCAAAGCTCGTCATGCTAACTAGTCTTGTTAACCAATTCCCCTCCTGAGGCTCAGACTGCTGGTCAGTTCAAGTTAACAGCATTAAATAGTCGCTTAAGTTAGCCAAGGCAGACTGTTAGCGGTGGCTCTCCTGTCTCCAACAGGTAAGCATTTCGGTTTAAGCTTCTTTTTTATTATTAATCTGGGTTAAACGGTTAACTAGGTTACTTTAAAACCGCCCCGACTCTGATCTAAGTTAGTCTTCTTTATTGTTGTGAGTCGGTTTTCTTCTTCTTCGGTGTTTATAAACTTGTTTAATTAGCCTGGCGTTAGCCTGTTAGCAGCCTGGGGTAATTTCCAGACTCACCAGCCGGACTTCATTAAGAGAATACTCCATTAAATATTTTGTTCTTTCGGTAAAAAGTTTGCTCACGTAAAACGCACATATTGACTTAGGACTGATAAGATGCGGATATGTTATAATTCGGCTGAAATAAAACTTGAAATTAAGGTAAAACAATTAAATTGTTTGTATTAAGTTAAGTTTCCTCCATCAGCTTTAGATGGATTTAAGTGTTACATAATAATTGCCAAGTAATGATAATCTTCGTTAAAATATCAAGCCGAATTTATCCAAGGACATTTTTGATTTCATTAGGTGTATTCGTTTTTAAAAGGTCTTGTCAAGTGTTCGGTTTCTGTTTAAAAAAATGAAAGTAAAAATTTTCTCTCAGTGGTTTAGCGTGACGTCATCTGTAAACAAAACCAGTTTGTGGTAAAAAGGATCTGCTTTTATATTTAATGACAGCAGCAGTTTCAGCCTGTACGTTAATGAACGGGGAATTCCTGTAAAATCCCACTTCATTAATCTGTTTTTATTGGGTTTCACAAAATCAGTATTAGTAAAAAAAAAAAAAACTTATAAGGAATTATATAACCAATAAATAGAAGTGATACTTCAACTATGTAATATGGAATCCTGCCATTAGGTTATGTAAATAAATTCACATAAGAGATATCAGTGTGCTTAATGGAAGTGATAAAGGTCTTTCAGCTGTAATAAAAGTCGTAGCTATAGTTGAAGTAAAATATTTTATCTCTCATAAATGAGTCCTGAGAGCAAATATTAAAGCAGAATCGCGTCCAAAGTTCAGCCTTATACTCCTTCTCCTTCAGGCTTCTCTGTAATCATCTAAAGTTTTTAGATTGATAGTTTCCAAACTTTCTGAAGTTTTTCTTTTTCTTTGGCAACTAATTTGTTTGAAAGTTTTTTGTCTTTGACAAAAAGTTTGACTGACAAACAGTGAGATTCAAGCTCCTGTAACAAAACCAGGGACAGTAAAGTAATATATCTAAAACATGACAGGGTCGCATCTGTCAGAATAAACAGAAACAATAGTAACTAAAAATTAACAGGTGGGGTCAGAGGTCAGACAATCTACTTATAAACCACGGTAGAGGCTCTTCATGATTTGTGACATGTTTTGAATGCAGACGTGTAGAATCATGTTTTACTTTGGTTAGCATGAAGCTGGTTGATGCATTTCTTCTGTCACTTGACCAAACAAATATCACACGACCCCCCATGACCTCTAGAAACAAACTGCAACAAGATGGAAATCAATATTGGTTGTTAACATTGACCCAGTTTAATTTATCGATGTGTATTGATCTGCTACTTGAATGTGATTGGCTTTTTACTCAAACATTTGTTCAATCCAGAGTCTGAAACTCTGGGTTTACCAATCCAGCATCAGTGGGTTTAGTTGAACCAGAACTCCTGAAGTAACTCTGGGATACACCAGACTACGCATTGTTTAGCCTGCTTCATGCTTAGGATTCATAATGAAGGTGGTTGCCCCTAGTCCTAGTCAAAGCCTGTCGGAAGGGTTTCCCCTTGAAAACCTGTTAAGCTTGGTGGTTGGGGTGTAAGTGCAGTCCACCAGCGGCCCACCGTGTTTTTGAGTCAAAAAATGTTAAGTTACAAGAATTTGGATGTGTGAAAGCAGGCATCATAATTTGTGAGTTAAGCCTGGTGGGGGATGGAGGGTGGAGATTTGGGGATAGGGGGGATTAAGCCTGGTGGCTCACCAGGCTGATAATGCTCTGAGGGAAACTGCGTTGGGATTGTTCCCACCTCGTTTTTGGTTCCTATGCAGCTGATGACACATTTCTGCTCAGGCTTCCTGTGTACAGAATAATGTGAGTGCTTCATGGTTCTGGACCAGGAGTCCGGTCCAGATCTGTGACCTCCCGGGCCGGGCTAACAGTTCTGCTTGTCGTGGTCAGGATGTTTGCCTGCTGCTGTAACTGGCTCTGCATGGACTCCACGGATGTGGACCCGTCAGGCCGAGCTGACAGGAGACACCAGTCCTACACCAACTCGGCCTTCAACTCCCAACCGTCTCCGCCTCCACCTGAGCACACCTGTAAGGCCTGCGGTGGCTCCTTCGACACACCTGCCAGGAAGGTAACTCCGCCCCCATCACTTGCAGTCTAGAGGGCTTTTCTCCTGAACCTCATGGACTCTCAATTCAGGAATCGATCCGATGAGTTCAGGAGACGATCCGATGAGTTCAGGAGACGATCCGATGAGTTGAGGAGACGATCCAATGAGTTGAGGAGATGATCCGATGAGTTCAGGAGCCGATCCGATGAGTTTGGTTAAACAGACAGATTAAAGTTAGAAATGCAGGAAGTTCAGTTTGTTGTTCCAGCTGGTAAATGTCCTCTGTCTAAAGAGATGGAGGACAGAAAGTGTAAGCTGAAACTGACATTTAGTTGAGGTCAAACTGTCAAATGTTTCAGGTGAAATGGCGCCCTCTGGTGGAGCAGCCTCAGTTTGACAGTTGTGATTTTACTGATTTTTCATGTTAAACTGGCTGAGTTTCCTGCTGTCCACTTATGTCCCCACCTGTCTCCACCCATCCCCCAGCATGTGTGTGTTGACTGTAAGAAGAACTACTGCAGCGGCTGCTCCGCCCAGCAGGGACTGCGGCCGCGCCTCTGCCACACCTGTCAGCGTTTCTATGGCAACCTGCTGGAGCGGGCGGAGCTGATGAAGCTGAAGGTGAAGGAGCTGAGAGACTACCTGCACCTGCATGAGGTCTCCACCCACCTGTGCAGAGAGAAGGTGACGTGTCGTCGTGGTTTCAGCAGCAGCCAATCAGAGAGCGGCTGCAGGTGTTGTGGACGTGTTGGTTCCCTCCAGTTAAACCAGTGCTTCCTGTCCCCCAGGAGGAGCTGGTGGAGCTGGTGCTGAGTCAGCAGTCGTCCCCTTCTGGCAGCTCCGCCCCCGACACCCCTATCGTCCAGCCTCCCACCGTGACCTCTGACCCTCCGGACCCGACGCCTCACATCTCCGTTTCTGATTCGTCCTCTGATGCATCGAGTCCGGGCCCGCCCACTCCGGAGCCCGAAGCTCCGCCCCCAGACTCAGAGACTCCACCCTCTGATGCTGAGCTGGAGGAGGACGACCCGGTAAGTTCCGTAGAAGATCTGGACGACCGACCCGGTTCTGCTGACCCTCCCGGTTCCACTGACCGACTCATGTCTTCCAGGCCTGGGACCCGGAGGAGGCGCCGGTGTCAGGGCGCCGGGCTTCGCTGTCGGACCTGAAGAGCGTGGACGACATCGAGGACCTGAGTGTCCGGCAGCTGAAGGAGATTCTGGCCCGGAACTTCGTGGATTACAAAGGCTGCTGTGAGAAATGGGAGCTGATGGAGCGGGTGACCCGGCTGTACCACGACCAGCAGAACCTGCTGGGTGAGGAGAGACCAACAAGTTTCACCATGTTTACAGGAACCATTAGAACATCTGGGTTCTAATGGTTCTGATCCAGTCAGACTATTATCAGGTTCAGGTTATGTTCCAAACTGAGCAAGAAGTGTTTGATTGGTGATCTGCAGTGGCACACTTTTGCTAACCCTCTGGTAGCAGAGCTAATGTTAGCTTAGCAATTAGCTAATTGTTAGCTCCTAAGATAATATTTCTGGATGAAAGCTGAGAATTAGCTCCGTAATAAAGGCAGAGCTAATTCCGTTTTTGCTACCTTTAAAATTATTTCGAGCACTTTACTTCCTCCAAATCCATTTTTCTGGGTAAATTCTAATGCTCTAATTTTCTTGGCTTTTTTGTAAACTTTCAGTTGAATACAATTCAATATATATTTTGAAATTTTTATTGACTGTTAAGAATTCTTCAAGCAGCTAATCTTTTATATTCCTGCTCTTATTTTGAAGTGGATGAAGACTGTTTATACAGTTTCTCTCATTTTCCCCCAATAACTTTTGTATATCAAGAAACGTACAGTAACAAAATAAAATGGACGGTAGAGAACAAGATATAAATGTTATATGTAAGGGCTTTACAGGACATGTAAATTATAATGACAAAATTAAATTGCAGCTTGTCTGTCGATGCCAGACATGTAATTTGAATTCAATTTTAGTGAAAGCATTAGCTTCTGCTAGCCAATGTGTTAGTAGAGTGATTTAGCATTAGCTTCTGTTAAATACCATGCAAGTCCAGCGCATCATCATTAGCAGAGCTGATGTTTCTCTGGATCGCTGAATCCCATTGGCTGCTTCTCTGATGACGTCATTGTTTTTCTGTTTCAGCGGCTAACTCTGTGAACGCTGCAGGTGAGTGTAGTTCTGTGGGTCTGGGGGAACCGCTGCATGGTTCCATGTCTGACTCTGTCCCGTCCTCCTGCAGGTGGCGGCGGGCCGGCGCCGGGCCAGGAGGAGAACCTCTGTAAGATCTGCATGGACTCGCCCATCGACTGCGTCCTGCTGGAGTGCGGTCACATGGTCACCTGCACCAAGTGCGGCAAGCGGATGAGCGAATGTCCCATCTGCCGGCAGTACGTGATCCGGGCCGTGCACGTCTTCCGGTCCTGAGCCGCGGTTCTCCAGAACCAGCCCTCGCCTCCTCTTCAGAACCGACCGCCTTTAAAGCTGCAAACCAGAACCAGAACCTGCTGAGGAGACTTAATGACTTCTTCCTCTTTTCTTCTGCTGTGATCGAAGCGTTTGGTACTAATATGACACTGTGAGATTGGACCCGACCCGTTTTCAGGTCCTGGACCAGAAACCCAGAACAAATGGAGCAGGAATCCTGCAGCTCCTCAGACTCTCCGCTTTGCCTTAATCTGAATCACGTTTGGGTCACGATTGGACCCAACCGGGTCAGAACTCTGAGCTTTTTAATGTTTCTGGTTAATTCTTCCTTCAAAGTGCCTTTTCGGAACCGTTCCCACAGTCCAGGTGTAATGGACCAGCTACTGGACCCAGCCAGTGGAAGGGGGTGTCTCCATAGCAACAGAGACTGTAGCATGTGCTTCTGTCCGACCCGTTACTCACTGTGCCTCAGAACCATGAAGAAGAGTCTTTGAACCAGACAGGAAGTTGGACTTTACCTGAACAAACCAGCACTTTTTTTTCTCCAGAGTCAGTTTGTTTTCCAGATAGTTCACGGGTCAGAACTGTTCTGATGCTACAAGGGAATCACCATGGCAACCAGTGACTTGGCATTTCCTTATAAAACCCGTCACCAGGGGTGCTGGTAACTCCCAACAGAACCAACGGATGCAGGACCTTTTAAAAGTCTGTAATAAACTGATTCAGCTCTCAGGTAACGTAGTTCAGGTGTGCCGTGTAGCTCCGCCCCCAGCCTCAGATGATAGGCTCAGCAAGAAGAGTCTGAATCTAACCAATCTGTTCTCATTATTTATGTTGAAATTATGGGATTTAAATTGTTTAAGTGAAGTTTCTGACCTCTTACAACTTTTAATGAATCACTGAACGAAAGGGAAACTAGAATCTGATCAGGTTTTCACTGCTGAGCCACCAGGGGGCGGCAGAGGTGGTCCTACTGCTGCTTAAAGGGAATAAAGTGAAGTTTTCTGGGAATGTTCAGAGCAGGTTCCTTCCTGCTCTGGACCTTTAAGGACTGGGAGGTCTAACAGATGATTTTATTATGTTTACCGGCAGCCTGTGTGAAGTTTTCTTCTTCTGTTTGCACTAAAACCTTTTGATGCTGAATCACTTTAAACTTTCCTCTCTGGGGTTTTATTTTGCTCTTGATTTTTCTCTGATTGTGTTAAATCTATCATTTCTGCCTGCTGGTTTTGGATCAGAGCCGGATCCTCCACCTGCAGAGTTAAACTGATCCAGCGTCCGGCCCTCACAGGGGCCCCAAGCCACAGGCTGAGAACCTCTGTAGATACTCCAAATGAAGCTGGAAGCTAAATAAACGTCCAGATTATCCTGGAATCAGAGGGATTATTTGTAACAGATTTTAGTTTGTGGATTGAGCGCATAATAAATTTGTAATAAAACAGATCCGAGTCGTCGCGTTTTCATTCAGGCAGCGTTTTAAAAATGATTAAAATAAAATTGAAGGTATTTTAGAGGAAGTATTTGTTGAAATCTTTAATTCAATTTATTATTGATTCCGAAGGGAAATTAAAGGTAACTTATTAATTCAATAATCTTCAGAGTTAAATTGGATGCTGATGGCTGTTGGTAGGACATTTCCTGTAGCAGTCTCTGTTACAACTAGTTTGAAGAAACTTCTGACAGAAGACACTTTTTTCTGTAATTTCCTTAATTTTATGTGAAATGAGTCTTTACATTTTAATCCCCAAAGAGTCTGCAGTCGTCCTTGAACAGAACCAGAACAGAACCAGCTTTCTTCATCAGATCATTAAGCCTTTTCTGGGATTCAGAGTTTTTTCTTTTCTCTTTACCTTCCAGTTGCTGTTTGTTTCTTTTTTTGTTCCTCCCATTGCTGGATCCAACAACTCCCAGGACAATTTTCAGACCTACAGAAACAACCTTTATGATGAGACCTAAATGGATTTACCTGGGAATGCTGACAGTAATTGAGAACTGTCCAGATGAGCTGCAGGAGGTGCCAGGAAGGGACGGGAGGAGGCGTAGCCTGCAGCTGCTGATGTGAGCTCAGAGTTTCAGCCTGAACAGACGGAGCATTTCCACGGACGGCTGCAGGTACGTTGATCTGAACTCCCTGAACACATGAAGATCTGTCTCTCTGCAGGTCTCTGTTTCCCTTCCTCAGCAGCACTCAGCAGAGTTTTTCTCTCTTGCGTTGTTTGTGTCTATTTTCTGTGCTTGATGCTGCCTGGTAAAACTTTACAGGCTCTGGCTGCATTTCTGCAGCCTGTCAGCTCGCCATGTTGTTCAGGAACTGAACCATCTGGAACTATTTGTGAATGATTGAACTGAGAGAAAGTTATTTGATCAGGAAGAGATGGACAGCAGCGTTTGAGGGCTCACCAACTCAGGATCAGAGGACAGAAAACGCTGAAACCTGATGATCTTTATGCACCAACAATCTCTGCATGGGGGAAATCTCCACTCCTTCCTGAGTTAAACTAGTCAGTCAGGACGTTACTGTAAGAAATGGAGCGTTTGGATGTTGGTTCAGGGATTCAGCCGTCCAGCAGAAACCAGAACATTTGTTCTGTTGGGTCATGATGAGTCTGGACTGGTTCTATCCCTAGAGGCCTCAAGGCACTGGATCGCTGTCGTGTGATTGGCTGGTTTTTGTGTAACACCCTATCTTCCCTGGACTCCTGCCCAGGGAAAGCAGAGGAGGCCAAGCAGAGGAGGCCTCCCAGTTCAGCCCCTCAGCTGAACTCCCGTTTTAGAAAACATTGACATTTCTCATTCCAGTGTTAGAACCTAATAATTTCTTCCTTCACATTCTTCATAACCCAGAACTGAAGCAACCAACATCAGCTCAGTAACTCAATATTCTGAAATTATCTTTTCAGATTCTGCTGTTTATCTACAAATCAGCAGCTGATAAAACTAGAAAAAGCAGCTTCTTCCATAGACCAGAGCAGTGAAAGAGCTAAGAAGGTATTTTGTAATCAAAAGGTTTCTCATTATATTCTGCCAATCTAGCGAAGATCACCAAACTTTGGGAGAAAAAAAAACATCTCTTGGAGATGTACAGGAAGGCAGCCATTTTTGGTCAAAGGGTCATGTTTGGCCATTTTCATGTTTACTCACTTTCACAAACTCCTTGAATTTTGAGATATTTGCTTCATTTTCCATCAGTATGCAGTTAAGGGATGGAAGATTTAAAGTTATCAAAATGTTGAGTTTTTGAGCACGATTATGGGGCTTTTCACATGCAGACTTTAGAATCACTCAGGACAGTCTTGAGGCATTGAGGATCAAAAGTTATCAAAATCTTTTAGCTGCATCAGAGCAAAATCTGACCATAAAACATCAAGGTGGAAAAACTTCCACTGTGTGTCATTACCGAGCTGCTCACCTTCACATGGTCACTTGGTGACATCACAGTAGCCCCGCCCCCTTTAAACAGGAAGTCACCTGTTTTGCTGATGAATGTCTTCCTTTTACTCTTTGATTCATAAAGGTCACCAATTGACATAAAATAAGATGATGCTGAGTCCTCTCATCATTGGCTGGTGGCTCAACCACGGGGGCATGGCTGAACGGCGAATGCCGTATGCATACGGGTGGCTCTAAATTACACATGTATCATCCGAATGACACCAAACTGGATATCAATGACCTTTATTAACCTCTAAACAGGCCAATAGGATTATATTGAAATTTGGCTCCAGTGCGCTCCCTAGATTATTCCAACATCCATGTCTCTGATAAACAAACCAGTCCAATTTTTTGTGTGTCATCATCAGGAAGTACTGCTGAACACTTTGGTGTGGTGCATTAATGACACCTCTTAAGCCCCGCCCACTCAGATTATTTGGTGTCTCCTCCAGCACCTCCCTGTGGATGAATAACATTTAAAATGTATCCACTAACTCTTGAGAACCTTAACAACCACTCTTGACATGTTAAAAATTCTACAGGAAGTTCTCGCCTATCATTCACCATAAATCAGGAAGTGATAATAACTCCTGTCTTGGTTTCCATCCTAATTTTAAAATCTTGTTTTTGGACTCGTACTGATCTGGAATGAAGGCTATTTTGAAGGTTCGCCAAATTGCCTAGTCGAATATGGTGTGAGACGGTTCTACAGGAATTGGATGGCAGACCCGGTGCTCCGGCAGCCGCCATGAGGCCGGAGCGGCGCTGAGCTGCCAGGGCCGTACGAGGCTGCTTCAGCTCTAATTGTTTTTGTTTCTTTCTGATTCACAGTTCAGATCTGTAATGAAAGCTGGAAACACAGACAGACAGAAACCAACATCTTCCTTTCAGAGCCTCTTGTTGAACATGGACCACACCCTGATGGCGCTCCTGCTGTGGCTCTGCTGTTCAGGTAGCTCATCAAACAATGTTTGGCTCAGTTAAACAAAATCATGGAAGACATGTCATCCAAAGTTCAGCCTCTGTCTGCAGCTGCACTGATAAAACCTGCTTTCCCTTTATTTTGAAGGCAGAGTCTTCTGTTGTTGCTAATGAGATGGGTTGTGCTGAAATGTACTGAGATAGGAGAGATTAATGACCAGAAAAGGAAAATCTCACTGTGGTTCAGATCCTGATCCTCTCATCTCTGATTCTCCTTCCTGACATTTGTCCTAGGTGTTCATGCAGATGAAACCCACAGCCTGAAAGGTTTGTTCAGTTCTAGACTTGAGTTCAAAATCAAACTTAGCTTGTTAAACAGTAAAATGATGAATCTTCTGTCTGGTTTCTGTTCAGAGTCCATCAGGTTGGTGGGAGGATCCAGACGCTGTGACGGTCAATGGGAGTTGAATCTGGGAGAATGGAGACCAGTTCACATCGAAGGTTTTTATGATGGCCTGAAAGAAGCTTCAGTTATCTGCAGACAGCTGGACTGTGGCTCAGCTGTTTCAGCTAGAGATCATGAGCCATCATTTTTAATCCCTGTATGGACGGTCTCCTCAGAGTGTCTTCTGTCTGGATCTGATCTCAAGGACTGCGCAATAAAAGAAGAAGCATTTGGTTCTGTATGGTTCACCTGCTCAGGTAAATCTGTCACAAACATCGAACTCTTCCTCACTGGTGAGTCTGACTGAGATGCTGAGCTGTGTGAAGACTGGATCTGGGCCTCAGTTTCATCATTTAACCTTTGTTAAATGTAAAGAATCAAATTTCCTGACAAGTCAAATAAATCAGTAAACTAAAACTTCTCTTAGAGTTTTCAGACGTTCTAGTTCCAAAGAACTACAACGTCTATGACGTTATGACCAGTTAATATGACCAGTTCTTCTTGTCTTGTTTTAACCTCAGAAGTGATGGCATCACTTTTACATCTTCACACTCCTGTGTGTCTCCTCCTGTCAGGTTGGTGATGTTTGGCGTTAGCTAAGAGCCTGTTCCAATGTCCTGGTAGGGTTGGACGATATGGCGTTTCATATCGGTCAATATGGATAATTATTGATTTGTTTTTTCATTTAAAAAAATCTGAAATACTACCAAACATTTCCTGTGACTTTTCCTGTTTCCTCCATGTTTTTTTTTTTTTTTATTTCAAGCAGTCATGAGGCGCAGTGGTGAAACCTGAAACTGCTGCTGCACAATTTACTCAACAGGTTGTTTCTAGATAACCAAGGAGTGAGTGATGATTTCACCAGCCTAGCTTAGCTAACTGTGAGACGTTGAGCAGCTAACGTCTTTCTTCTGCCAACATTCCCCAGAATGTTGTGCGATTCTGGATCAGAGTTCAATGAAATTATTGAAACTTCTAACAGACATATTACAGTGGTGTGAAAAAGTGTGTGCCCCTTCCTCATTTCCAGTTTTTTTGCATATTTGTCACAATTAAGTGTTTCGGAACATCAAACCAATTTAAACAATAGTCAAGGACAACACAAGTAAACAAAATGCAATTTGTAAATGAAGGTGTTTATTATTAAAGGAGAAAATAAATCAAAACCATCATGGCCCTGTGTGAAAAAGTGATTTCCCCCTAAACCTAATAACTGGTTGGGCCACCCTTAGCAGCAACAACTGCAACCAAGCGTTTGTGATAACTTGCAATGAGTCTTTTATAGCGTTTTGGAGGAATTTTGGCCCACTCATCTTTGCAGAATTGTTCTAATTCAGTTACATTAGAGGGTTTTCGAGCATGAACGGCCTTTTTAAGGTCATACCACAACATCTCAATAGGATTCAGGTCAGGACTTTGGCTAGGCCACTCCAAAGTCTTCATTTTGTTTTTCTTCAGCCATTCAGTGGTGGACTTGCTGGTGTGTTTAGGATCATTGTCCTGCTGCAGAACCCAAGTTCGTTTCAGCTTGAGTTCACGAACAGATGGTCGGACATTCTCCTTCAGGATCTTTTGGTAGACAGCAGAATTCATAGTTCCATTTATCACAGCAAGTCTTCCAGGTCCTGACGCAGCAAAACAGCCCCAGACCATCACACTACCACCACCATATTTTACTGTTGGTATAATGTTCTTTTTCTGAAATGCAGTGTTCCTTTTACACCAGATGTAATGGGACACACACCTTCCAAAGAGTTCCACTTTTGTCTCATCGGTCCACAGAATGTTTTCCCAAAAGTCTTGGGGATCATCAAGATGCATTTTGGAAAAATTGAGACGAGCTTTAATGTTCTTTTTGCTCAGCAGTGGTTTTCTTCTTGGAACTCTGCCATGCAGGCCATTTTTGCCCAGTCTTTTTCTGATGGTGGAGGCATGAACGCTGACCTTAACTGAGGCAAGTGAGGCCTGCAGTTCTTTGGATGTTGTTGTGGGGTCTTTTGTGACCTCTTGGATGAGTCGTCGCTGCGCTCTTGGGGTAATTTTGGGCCTCTGGCCACTCCTGGGAAGGTTCACCACTGTTCCATGTCTTTGCCATTTGTGGATAATGGCTCTCACTGTGGTTCGCTGGATTCCCAAAGCTTTGGAAATGGCTTTCTAACCCTTTCCAGACTGATAGATCTTAATTACTGTCTTTCTCAATTGTTCCTGAATTTCTTTGGATCTCAGCATGATGTGTAGCTTTTAAGGATCTTTTGGTGGACCTTACTGTGTCAGGCAGCTCCTATTTAAGTGATGTCTTGATTGAAAACAGGTGTGGCAATAATCAGGCCTGGGTGTGGCTAGAGAAATTGAACTCAGTTGTTAAAAACCACAGTTATAGTATATTTTAATGAGGGGGGCAATCACTTTTTCACACAGGGCCTCGATGGTTTGGATTTTTTTTTCTCCTTTAATAATAAACACCTTCATTTACAAATTGCATTTTGTGTTTACTTGTGTTGTCCTTGACTATTGTTTGAATTGGTTTGATGTTCCGAAACACTTAAGTGTGACAAACATGCAAAAAAACAGGAAATGAGGAAGGGGCAAACACTTTTTCACACCACTGTTATCTATTGATAATAGATTATCTATTGATAATAGATAATATGATCATGTACCTACCTCGATATATATTGTCATTGATTTATAGTCCAGCTCTTAATCCTGGTCTATTTTATCTCCAATTGTATAAAGTTTGCATAATTCACCAGCAGTGTGGTTTGTTTGGCATGATGTGTAGTGCCATAACTCCTACAAAGATAATGTGAGTACAGTGTTGGAAACCCACCACAACCGCATGGAGAACAAGAACTGAACTGCACACAAAGAACCACGCAGACCAGTAGGGAACTGGGAATCCCTGAATTGTTACCATTGACCAATGGGCATCATGTGCTCCTATGAAGGAGGGATTTTCACACAGTTGGCGAGTCCCTGTAATGTCAAAGATTATGGTCCATTCACTTCCAGACAAACAGCAGCACTGGAGTCGAGGACGATGGGATGGAATAGGGTTAGAGGTCAAGAGATTTGGGTTTTGCCTGGATGGAGCGGTGGATCTCTGGGTGCCAGGTTTTGCTTGGCCGGCCCGGGTTCTCCCTGACCGCTGTCGCTTCATGGACCACCACTCTATGTGGGTTTCCTGGGGGCTCTCTGAGGGCCCACACAGGTCTCAGCTCTTAAAACCAGAGACCTTCCGGGTTCCCTGACCTTGGTCAGCCAGTAAAGGTCTGCAAAAACTGTTCATGCACAACATTGTGGATAAAATATTTTCTTTGTCTCTGTAGAGTCTGTCAGATTGGTGAACGGGGGAGATGGCTGTTCAGGCAGACTGGAGGTGAAGGTCTCCCAGTCTAGCCAGTTTAACCAGAGCTGGTCTTCAGTGTGTGAAGCTGACTTTGACCACCAGGATGCAGAGGTGGTGTGTAGGGAGTTCAACTGTGGGTCTCCTAAAGTCCTAAAGGGAGGGCTCTATGGAGAGGTGGAGGCTCCAATGTGGTCACCACAGTTCCAGTGTGGAGATAATGAGTCTTCTCTCCTGGACTGTAGAAGGTCCGACTCAGCCAGAAACTCCTGCTCACCTGGAAAAGCTGTTGGACTCACCTGCTCAGGTAGAGGAGGAGCCACAGATATGGTTGGTTTAATTTCTGCTCCATGTTTTGCTGATGACTTTCTGCTTTCTCTTTAGAACCGTTGAGGTTGGTGGGGGGACCCAGTCCTTGTGAAGGTAGACTCCAGATAAGACGTGAGGGAAAATGGCGACTGGGGATATTGTGGAGCTTAAAGTCTTGGACCCTGAACCACACAGAGATTATCTGTAAATGGCTGGGCTGTGGCTCTGCTGTTTCAATGGAAAGAAACACAGAGCCACTCCAGCAAGAAATGTCTGAGATCTATCTTCACTGCATTGAGCGAGTACCTTCTATCAGGGAATGCATGTTTTATACAGAATATTCAACTGAAGCCATCAAACTCAAGTGTTTAGGTGAGTCAAACAGTGACACTTCTTCTCTAACTGGGTCACAAGTTCTGCTGAGTAACATGAAAGTAAACATGAAGGATGAAAACTCATCTGGAGTCAGAAACCAGCCTGAACGTATCAGGCTGATAGAGGAACATAACAGGTTCCTCAAGCAGCCTTTAAAGGTTCGTTTTAATTTTCCTTCAGGTCAACAGTCTGTCAGTGCTAAATAAACCAGAGGTTGCTTTCTCTTCTGATTTCTCAATCAATCAATCAATCAATCAATCAGTCAATCAATCAATCAATCAATCAAATTTATTTGTATAGCACATTTCAGCAACAAGGCAGTCGAAAATTCTTTAAATCATAAAAATACAAAGTCATAAAGGGTTCCTCCAGCCAATAATCTCCCTTCGCTTTGTGTTTCCAGAACCAGACAGAGCCACAGATGGGAACCTTCGTCTCACAGGTGGTTATATGCAGAGGAGGAGAAGATCTGCTCCAGACTGAAGTGAATTAGCTGAAGTCACCTGCTAGCTCACTTGTTCTGATGATTTTCTGATTCTGGTTCACTTTCAGTTTTTACACCAGTTTTTATCTTCTGTCTGGTTCTCCTGCTGCTGAGCGTCACCTTCTTCATCTTCGCTCTTTGCTTTACCTACAAGGTATTCCTCGCTGCAGAGTTCCTGCTCATGTTGAGCTGTAGAAACCCCTCAGTAACTGTGCTGCCATGTCTCTGCAGCCCACCAGGTGGCAGCAGTCAGGCCAGTGAGCTGAAGATGCAGCAACGATGGACGAGTTCTCCTGATGGAGATGTTCGCTTCACCCTGACCTCAGAGGAAATGTTCAGTTTCCTGAACTCCTCTCCTCAGTCATAACACATATGGCTGCTTTTTAAATCAATTCAATTTTGTTTTTCACCTATAAAAAATATTTTCCTGTGCAAGTGGCAGTAATATGAGCTTTGATCTTTCTACATGTTATGATGTTATTCCTTTATAAAAAAAAAAAAAACTAACCTTCAGTGTTGGCTTGATACATTCATGCATGTTAGATTAATCCTTTAATCTCCATGCCAACCATTCAGCTGCAAAACCGTGCAGTACCAGCCGCTCTGCGGTACCGCTTCTCCTCTTCTACGTTTTTCCCTTGGTGATTTATGTTGTGTGAATTTGATGTTCATTTTCACTGTCATGCTGATGACACCCACCGCTACATCACCACTAATCCCTTGTCCATTCTTCCACCCAGATCCTTCTCTGACTCCACCTCTGAAATAAAAACCTGGTTCACCCTAAATTTCCTTAAACTAAACAGCACCAAAACTGTCATCGTCTCTGCGATTCAGTATCATCCCAACTCAGAAATATCAATTCACTCTGGCGTTTAAATCACAACACATTTGTTGGCAATTGTTTATTCTATGAGTTGCATTTTGCTCTTTCTGTTCAAGTGATTTCATTATTTTACTGTTGTTTCTTTTAATTGTAAAATGTCCTTGAGTGCAGAGAAATGTGCCTCCAAATAAAATGTCTTTTTACTATTTGTAAGTTTGGTTTCAAACGCTTTATGTTCAAAAGAAGTGTTTTTTCTACGTATTTGTATGATTTTTCTTATTTAGTCTTTGGATTATCACAGTTTGCACATAAAATAAAATTTTTCTCCATCTGATGACATTATCAGATATTCAGCTCTTTTGCAAAGGTATAATGAAGTACGGTAGTTGTTTGTTTTAGCACTTTAGCTATGACAGATTTTCATGAGTTTCAGAAGTAAGCGATTTTTTTCTTTATCCTCATTGGCTGGTAGTTTCACTTCCCTAGTAGCTGATTGGCTGGCTGTTAATTCAGTGGGCGGGGTTCAGTTTGAACCACAATCCCGCCGCCTACATCGGTATCAAATTTCCTGCTGCCATCATGGCGACCAGCAGAAGCTTGTTGTGAACAAAACTTTCTGAACCAAGTGAGATTCATTTTGCGCTTTTGCTGGGCATTAAAAGGATTTCCGAGGCCGTTTTATTTATGTTTTTGTTTTCTTTTGAAAGTTTAGCCACTTGCCGGTATGGCTGATAGACCGGAGAGGAGGAGGCAGCCAGCGGGGCGGAAGAGCCGGCAGAGCCAGCCGAGGAAGAGCTCCAGCTCCCGGGTACAGTCTTGAGCTACAACTGTTAGCAGTTACAACCGTTAGCTGGTTCTCAGAACAGTTTGAGATCTTCTAACTGTTCTGAGAAGCCAAAACCGAATTATCTTTTGGAAAAAAAGAAAGAAAAAGCTTTTGTCAATTGTCCGAGTTTTAAAAAAGTTTGTTAAATAGTTTAATCGCAGCAACAAGGGAAAGTTAAGACAACACACAAGTAGGCCACCGGTGTTGCGTTAAATTCTGTCTCCCTCACATCCGAAGCCAGGTTCGGGTTCAGGGTCCAGTTAAAGGGATGTTTCACTCTTTTCAAGCTGAGAGCAGCTTCGGTGTTTATATTTTCCACTGAAAGCATTTTTTTAAAACAGCTCCCATGTTTTAAACCCCAATAGTTCAAATCATTTCTATGCTTTCAGTTTATAACAACATCTGGGTTTCCTTCACCTTTCCACTTGCATCCACTGAACACAAAAGGCTTTTTTAAAGCTTTGGAAATATTACGTCAGCAATAGTTTTTTGTAAAATGCCGTTGAGAGTTTCCATCCTAATCATGCAAGACAATTATTTATTCCTGAAAATTTAACCTCTTTAAAGCCAATTTAACAATTAAATAATCTTTTTTTTTTTCATTTAACTTTAAATTGGGATTATTTAGGTTCACCAATCTCCATTTTATTTGCCTAAATTGGTAAATTAGTACATGGAGGTTAGCAATTGTTACCTATTATAGACCCTAATAGTACCATGACAGTATCATCAGTTTTATAGTTGGTGTAATAAAATAATTAACTTTTTTTTTTTACTTTGTGCGCTGAAGTATTTTTCAGGTCTGGAAAGGATGAAGAAAATATTTACAGATTTTATTCTTTATCTGAAAGTTGTTTTTCACCAAGTTGTAAATCCTTTTCAGTATTTTATGTTTTGTATTTAAATCCTGACCCCGAGACGACGACTGTCATCAAATTCTTCTAGATGTTTGTTTTTAAGATCAAAAAGTAGCTAAAATGAGCAGCAACAGCAGGTGATGTGGATTAGCAGTTGTTCACGCCACTGTGAAATACATTGTCTGTGGTTTGGAACCGTTAGCTTAGCATGTCTCTGTAAACAGCGACAGTCTTCAGTCAGAGGCCTTTCTTGGATGGTTGCAGTTATCAGCAGGTTTAGATTCATGTGACAGTTTGTGACTTCAGACGGTGAACGGTTTGATCTTTAGCAGTCTTGTCTGTTTGCTTCAGGTGACTCTGGAAAAGGTTCTGGGGATCAGCCCGGTGGTCAGCAGCTTCCTGACCTCTGACCCTAACTCTGGCCGTATTGCCTATCCTGCAGGGTGAGTGCTGCGTCGGGTTCCACCTCCTCCTCAAACCATCTTCATCAAATCTGACTAAACTGGTCTCAAACGTTGGTGCAGCAAAAAGTTTTGTTTCCACTTTTGTGTTTAGTGGATGCAAGTGGAAAGTTTTGTGCCGCGGTAAAATGTCAAAGATGTTAAATGTTTCCAGAGGTCATTAAAGGTCAACCTCACCTAATTCACTTCAGACAAATTTGGTGCCAATCAATCAACTCGCCTCTGTTTGTGCTGCTTTTGAAAATATTGATCATGACCTCTTTAAACTTTATTAATAAATATCTTTAAGATGATAACGGCACAAACCGAAACTTTTACTGCACAAACATTTGACACCAATTTAGTTTGATTTGAAGATGGGGGGTGGGGGGGGGTCCAGCTTCACTCGGGTACGGAGACATTCAGCTGCCAGCCGCCACGCGTTCTGTGACAGATGTGATGATGTTGCTGTTCCTCCTCCAGGTGTGTGGTGGTGCTGTTGAACCCACTGAACAACAAGCAGGATCACATCATCAACGCCTCCAGGAAGCCCTTCACCGCTCTGAGCTTCTCTCCTGACGGGAAGCACCTGGTGACCGGAGAGGTGAGGGACGAACCGCACGCCTCTTGGTGTTTGGGTTGTTTTGGTCTCCTCACGTCGCCCCCTGCTGTTCCAGAGCGGCCACATGCCCTGCGTCCGGGTGTGGGAGGTGGGCGGAGGCCAGGTGGCCGAGGTCCAGGCCCATAAGTACGGCGTGGCCTGTGTGGCGTTCTCCTGCAGCGGCTCCTACGTGGTCTCTGTGGGGTTCCAGCATGACCGGACCATCAGTGTGTGGGACTGGAGGGTGAGGAGACGCGCGCACACACACACACACACACACACACACACACACACACACACACACACACACACACACACACAGGGCTCTGAATCCCAGCTGCTGGTTTCACTCTTAATGATCCTTTAAAGCCTGTAAAACATCCAGGGTTTCCTTACTGGGAGTTAAATCTGTACGTTTGATTGGACAGATGAATTAAGTCACATTTTGACAAAACTACCAACAACCTGATTGTCTGATCCTGATGACAGGAAGTGAAAGAAACAGGTTCTCTAGGAAAATATCCCTCCAGAACAGACTTATCATAGTTTCTTCAGATATCCAGGAAGTCGGTGCATCTTTAAATTCTTGTATCTATAATTAAATTCTTAAAATGTCTTTGATAAATTTTTTAAAAAGTAAGTTGCCATTAAATGTGTTTGTCACATGTTTTTTGCCTCAAGCTGATTGAAGCTGTCAGGAACCAGCTACTGTTATACCTGTAAACGTCATTTGGAAAAATGATGTTCATATTTGCAAAGTCCGACCCGGGTTGCAGAACGGGCAGTTGTCGAGGGCAGTGCGTCAGTCCACGAGTTTTCACTTTATTTTCTTTCATATAAATCTTAAATTTCATTCATGATGGAGGTAAATATTCTTATATTTGAGTTACGCTGATAACAGAAGGTTCTGGATTGTTTTCTGCTGCATTATTTATATCTTCCCATCCCTACTTGTTGCCAACATTCTGCCTTACCTTGACCTTTGACCCCAAGCAGAAAGGTTCCATCATCGCCACCAACAAGGTGTCCAGCAGAGTCTCCTCCGTCTCCTTCTCCCAGGACAGCAGCTACTTCGTTACCGCGGGAAACCGACACGTAAAGTTCTGGGACCTGGACGGCTCCAAGGACCGGCGGGTCAGCTGACGCCTCCTCAGCCAATCACAGCCCGGCTGCCTGCCGCTCGCCTGGCTCTCACCTGCTCCCTCTGTTCCCAGGTGAACAGCACCGTGCCACTGATTGGCCGGTCCGGGTTGCTAGGTGACCATAAGAACAGCGTGTTCTGCGGAGTGGCGTGTGGGCGGGGCCCAGCGGCGAGCAACACGTACTGCGTCACCGCCGCCGGGGTCCTGTGTCTGTTCAACAGCAGCCGGCAGCTGGAGGCCTGGGTGAACCTGAAGGTCAGAGGTCGTGGCGTTGGCATGTCGGGGGGGTTCCTGGGATAACTCCTCCTCTTCTCCTGCAGACGGCGGCGGCGAGCGGCCTGGCGGTCAGCGAGGACTGGGTGTTCTGCGGCTGCGCAGACGGAGTGATCCGAGTTTTCCGGCCGGCCAACCTGCAGTACGTGGGAACGCTGCCGCGGCCGCACCGCCTGGGCGTGGATCTGACCCGGAGCGCGCCGCACAGGTCGGAGCGCCGCCGCCGCGCCCTCTGACCCCGTGCCGTCACACCCGTTCTGACCTCTGACCTCCTGCTCCCCCAGCAGCCCGCCCCCTGCCGGCTCCGAAGCGGCGCATCCTGACACCCTGGCGCTGACCTTTGACCCCAGAGGGCGGCGGCTCAGCTGCGTGTACACGGACCACAGCGTGTACGTCTGGGACGTGGCGGACGTGAAGAACGCCGTGAGGCTGCACTCGGCTCTGTACCACAGCAGCTGCGTGTGGAACATCCAGGTCAGGAACATCCATATTCTGATCGGTGATCAATCGGTGATCAATCGGTGATCATCCTGTTGGTTTATATTCACTCTCATCTAAATCACCGATACGAAGGTCTGATGTCATAACACCACAGGAAATGTTCAGATTTACCTGAAGAAGCTTTGGAAGCAGAGAAACCTGGACTGGACCAACCGGGTTGATCAAACATCAACAATATGAACTTATTAATAAATCAGGAAGGCAGAAGACGATGTTTTCTTTTTAATCCAGTTTCGGTTTGGAATGTTTTGTTTTCCAGGTTTATCCGGAGCTGCAGGATCCGTCTCAGGCCCGTCTGCCGCCATCGGCCTTCCTCACCTGTTCCTCTGATAACACCATCAGACTGTGGCACTCTGACGCCCCCATCAGGCAGAGGAACCAGTACAGCCAGGTGAGACCGGACCGGTTCAGGCTCAGCTCATCACAGTGGCTTCAGATGATTCCATGAATCAAAATTAATTCAAGCTAAAACACTGAAGGAAAGTCGAAGCTGAGCTGGACGTTTCTTTAGTTATGATACTCTTTTAAAGTCTTTATTTGGTATTTTTTATCTTTGTAAACTTCTTTAAAACATCAATTTGAAACTAAGAAGGCTTATTCTACTCTTTCATTTTAACCTGAACTTTGCAGTTTCGTGCCAGACGGATTTTAAAGAATATCAGTTTAATATAAAAAAAAAGTCCCAGGACTGTTGCTGCTAGCTGGGCTGCTAGCTGGGCTGCTAGCTGGGCTGCTAGCTGATGTTAGGCCTAAACCCTGGCTTGAGGGCTTGTTCCACTGCGGCGCAGTTCGCTGCAGTTCAGTTCATTTTCAGGAGCGTTTCCAGCGCTAACGGACTCAGCCTGGCAGAGCGGGTTGAACCCAAACAGCTAACGCTAACGCTGCATCATGCTACTGTGACGTTTCTGTCCTCCAATCAGTGGACGGTGGTGTAGCTCCATTGGACCGATTCTAGGTCCAGCTGTGAAAATAAGTTTGATCTACAACAATAAGAGAGTGAGCGGTTATTGAGTCACAGCAGTTATCAGAATAAATATTTATCCACCAACGAGCTTCTGTTTCGGTTTGGGTTTTATCCAGAAGACCCTGATGGGTTCTGGCCGGTAGGGAGTCGGCTGTGAACAAGAATTGGTTCTGCCTGACGCTCCGGTTCTGCCGGGTCCGGTCAGCGGACCTGGTGATTCTCCTAAGGCTGCAGCGGGTCGTTCTGTTTCCAGGACCTGCTGAAGATCCTGTATGTGGGGGAAGACGTTCAGCGCCTGCAGGCTGCGGGGGCCGAGGCTGACGGGCCGGACGGGAAGGCCGGGATCCGGGTGCTGGGAATCAGTCCGGACGGGAAGCACCTGGCGGCCGGAGACCGCTGTGGGAACCTGAGGTGAGAACCCGCAGAGCCTCATGTTTCTGATCAGAACCGGACGTTAGCCGTTAGCTAACAGAACCGGAGCGGCTTCAGATTCTGAAGGTTCAATCTTTACGTTCTCCTGAGGAGTCGGAGACTTTGTTCTGCAGCTTGGTGTTTATCAGGCTTCCTTCCTGTGGATCCGTTTTTGTAACCGAGTGGTGCCTCCTGTTTCCAGGATCTTTGATCTGGAGAGCCTGACTGAGCTGCTGAAGATCGAGGCTCACAACTCCGAGGTTCTCTGTTTGGAGTTTTCTCCTTTGTCCTCAGGTGAGATTCAAGCTGCTGCTCCACGTTGCCATGGTGATGTCTGAACGCAGAACTGGATCCTGTAGAAAGTCTGACTTCCTGTTTACTTCCTGCGACTGGTTCAGGAGTGAAGCTGCTGGCCTCAGCCAGCAGAGATCGGCTCATCCACGTCTTCAACCAGGAGAAGAACTACAACCTCCAGCAGACCCTGAACGACCACTCCGCCTCCATCACCGCCGTCAAGTTCACCGGTGAGGGCGGGGCCAGCAAGGCGCCTGCTCCTATTGGCTGCTCCGGTTCAATCCGCTCTGAGCCAACGATGCGTTCAGGGAACATTCAGCTTCTGCTTGTTTTGGGTTCAGGTCAGAGTCCAGAGGTCCAGCTGGTGAGCTGTGGAGCCGACAAGAGCATCTACGTTCAGACGGCCGAGCAGGTTGGACCCTGAACGCACCACAGCTGCAATTTACTGTATCTCTCTGCATTTTACAGCATCTCCCTGCATTTTACAGCATCTCCCTGCATTTTACAGCATCTCTCTGCATTTTACAGCATCTCTCTGCATCTCCCTGCATTTTACTGCATTTTACTGCATCTCTCTGCATTTTACGGCGTGTTGGGAAGGTGTTGCTGTCTGAGCAGCAGGAACGCTGAGCTTCATGCTTCCAACCTCCACTTCCTGTTTCCTGCAGCCGGGCGCAGTGTCAGTCTGTTTTAGTCAATCAAGTTGAACCAATAGAATAAATTTACAGTGGTACACATAGGGTAAAATAAATCAAATGACCAGGATAAGAATAAAAATACAATTATTGAAAAGAAGCCGTAAAGCTGAGTGGAAATAATGTGATAATAATAGAAGCACGCTGCTGAGACGTTGGGCATGTTGTGTCGTTGCTCCTCCGTCTGATTCTGGTTCTTTCCCAGACGCCGGACGGGTCGCTGTTCTCCCGGCGCCACCATGTGGTGGAGAAAACCACACTGTACGACATGGACCTGGACCCCACCGGGACGCGCGTCTCTGTGGCATGTCAGGACAGAAACGTCAGGTAAAGACCGCCTGGAGCGCTCGGTCTGTTTGACCTTTGACCCTCTGATTCAGTGCTGCCTCCTCAGAGTTTACAGTGTGGAGACGGGGAAGCTGGAGCGCAGCCTGAAGGGCTCGGCGAGCGACGAGGGAGCCCTGCTCAAGGTAACCGGGGTCCGGCCGACCTCTGGCCGACCTCTGGCCGACCTCTGGCCGACCTCTGGCCGTCTGCAGGTTCACTCGGACCCGTCCGGATCGTTCTTCGCCACCAGCTGCTCTGATAAGAACATCACCATCTTTGAGGCGGAGACTGGAGAGTGCGTCGCCATGCTGTTCGGTCATTCAGGTGAGGAAGAGGAAGATCAGCAAAGAAATGTTCTGACTGAAGCTT